TTTACCGTAGAGACGAGGTCTCACCAAGTTGCCCAGGTGGGTCTCGAACACGTGGGTTTAGGCAATCCACTCGCCTCGGCCTCCCAAAGTGCTGGGATTACAGGCTGAGCCACGGAGCCCAACCCAGACTCCAACTTTTACAAGTAAGTTCGCTCCTCTGCAAAAGTGTGAACAGTGACAGTGCCTACCTCAGGGTGTCGTGGACACTCGGGGGTCAGTAGGGATGAAGTGCTTGGAACTGGGCCTGGCGCATCCTAAGTACTTTATCAGTGATGGCTACTACTATTTTTTTCTGATCCTCTAGGCCAAAGCAGGTGCAGATCTGAGGTGCAGTGGGCTACACCACGGCTTCAGTATGCATCTTTGTGGCCTGCTTGCCCTTGGGCTCCCAGTGCCAGCCAAGTCCTAGCAGAGTGGGGTGGGGATGAGCCGGCGAGGCAGCTACGCACACACTCAGCTCTGTCTGCCTGCACTGGATGCCTCGCCGTGGGATGGCACTTGTGCCCTGAGGTTTCCCTGGGGCTCTGTGGGGTGACTCCCTCTCCATCAGGACTAAGTATGTCACCATGAGTACCACCTCTTCGTGCCGCTTTACGAGACTCACTGAGGAACTTTCCTCTGAAGCATCGAGTCACCCAGGGCGGGAAGGACTGAGTCGGACAGGAAGAGAGCAAAGGGCGTGTCACCAGGTGGGTGACTAAAGACCAGGGAACTGCCCTCCACCCACACCCTCCTGCCACCTCACATGCCACTCCTTCCCTCAGGCCCTTGCTCACGTCACATGCTGCAGATAGGCGACACCCCACTGTGTTCTGGCCCCCAGCTCGGGCACAGGCTGCTGGGCACATGACCCACGGCCATTGGTGGTCTCTCACCTTTTGGGGCCGCACGTGGAAATCCAAACTCACCACTGGAAGGACCAGCCGACACTCCCTGCATGTGACACTGAGCTTGCCAATACCTGCCTCTACTCAGGTCCCTCATCCACACTGGTTTGCTGAATACTGAGTGTTTTCTTCGGACAGTCCCTGTCATTGGAGTATCTTTGAGCAACACATCCAACATATAGAGCCTATAAATGGCATGTAACACACATATGCAAACAGGAGCTTCCATACAACTCACGTGGAGTCTCATGCACACCACACGGCATCCCTAGCCCAGATGGCCTCTCCAACATGAAGATTCTTCATATCACATAGACAAACATGCTCACACACTCATCTGTGTACCCACGTGCCCATCCTGGAGCCCCAGGCATACCACATGCCTGCCCCTCACAGAGGCCACTTCATCTCGCCGAGCCTCATGTGGCCGAGAACAGCTGAGGCTGAGCCCCTGCCCTCTGTAGTCCGGCCCGTGTGGTTGACATGCATGACCTTATTTGATCTTCACAACTCTCTGAAGTCAGTTTTTACCTCTTCTCAGTGAGTGAACCAAGGCTCAGAGATGTGAATGACGTGTCCAGAAACTTACAAGCTGCTTCTGCAACCTGTGAGGTATGGCACACACACACCCGCAAATCCTCTCTCACTCCCACACACACACATCAGCACTCACATCTACACACCCACTCACATTCAAACACGATCTCACACGCACACATACACTCATGCACAAATTCTCTCACATCCACACACACTCATACATGCAACACTCACATCCACAACACACTCACACTCAAACACAACTGCATGCACACGTGCGCTTTTTTTTTGAGTTGGAGTCTCGCTCTGTTGCCCAGGTTGGAGCCACCGCAGCCTCAACCTACTGGGTTCAGGTGATACTTCCGCTTCTGCCTTCCAAGTAGCTGGAACTACAGGTGCATGCCACCATACTTGGCTCGTTTTTCTTGATTTATTGTAGAGATGAGGTCTCATCAAGTTGGCCAGGCTGGTCTTGAATCCCTGCACTCAGGCAACCCTCTTGCCTTGGCCTCCCAAAGTGCTGGGATTATAGGCATGAGCCACCGTGCCTGGCCGACAGCCATTTTTTTTTTCTTGAGTTGGAGTTTCACTGCGTTGCCCAGGCTGGAGTGCAGTGGCATGCTCATGGCCACTGCAGCCTTTACCTGCTGGGCTCAGGTGATCCTTTCGCCTCAGCCTTCCAAGTAGCTGGAACTACAGGCATGCAACACCACACCCAGCTAATTTTTCTTGATTTATTGTAGAGATGAGGTCTCACCAAATTGCCAGGCTGGTCTTGAACCCATAGACCCACACAATCCTCTCACCTCGGCTTCCCAAAGTGCTGGGATTATAGGCGTGAGCCACTGCACCTGGCCTACACATGCACTCATACACAAATCCTTTCACGCCCATACATACACACTCACACATATGCTCATACACACACCAGCACTCACATCTCCACACTCATGCACACGTCAACACTCACATCTACAAATACATCCACATTCAAGCATGGTCACACACAGACGCACTCATACACAAATCCTCCCCATCCACACTCATACACACACCGACACAGCCACACACACATCCACACACATGCTCATACATACATCCACACTCCTATGTCTACCCAACGCTCTCCCCCATCACCTTGGTCAAAGGCTTTAATTAATCCCAACACCTGTAATCCACCTCTCCTCTCCCCCTCCAGGGGAGATGTCTGGACCCGCTTCCCAAGGGCGGGCGTCAAGGCCGAAAGGCCAAGGTGTCCACATCGGGCTGGGAGGACCCAGGGTCCTGAGCAGCGGCTGAATGAGCAGGTCCGGGGGAGTCGAGTGGACGATGAGGTCAGAGGGAAGCACGTGGGCAGAGGGAGGCTGAAGCCTTCCAGAAAATCAGGCCTGCTATAGCTGCTCCTCCCGGACTGGCCAAAAGGTGATTGAGCAACAAGCAGCGGTGGGTGGCCCCGCAGGTGGGCAAGAGGGCGAGAGAACATTTCCCGTTTGTTTCACTAGCACCAGCCGCCTCGTCAGGAGGGAAGATGAGCTCATGTCGGAGGAACCTTTGGGAAGAGGCCCCCTGAAGGGCAGGTGGGAGGCAGGTGTCCTCCAAAGCGTGGAAACATGCCAAGCCATTCTGCCATGACAGAGTCAGGGATAGGGGTGCTCTGCACTGCAGCCCCCTCCCCCCAGTAAGGAGCCGTGGTTGGAGCAGAGACCACCAGGGTTCAAATCCTGCCTCTACTACCTGTGAGCTGTGCAACCTTTGGGGTTGTTGCTTTAAGCTCTTGGAGCCTTGGTTTCCTTTTCTGTAGAACCGGGATGAGGACACCTCCGGAGTGAGGCTGAAATGACCCGTTTGGAGGCGGCTGCGCTTAAGCTCACAGGAGGCTTCGAGACTCCTGAGCAGAGATGCTGTCCCTGACCAGGAACGGTGAGGCACACCCTGCAGAGGTTCCAAGAGGGGGGATCTCCGGGTCTATTTCAGGGCTTCCCTCCCAAGCCTGCGGCTCAAGAGGCAACTGCTTCTTGGGCCCCCAACCCATCTCAGCCCTGGCTTCAGGCCAAGGTTGAGCTCAGTCTCCGGCGCAGAGTGGGGACCGCTCAGCGCCCAGCCGTCCGCCCGCCTGGGCCGAGGATCCCGGGCGCAGAGACCTCCGGGGACCAGCCGTGGGGGCTCTGGCGCTTCGAGGCTCTCAAACTCGGGAGGGCCCGGGGGAGCTGCGAGCCCAGAGGCCCCCGAGGTCCTCCCGAGCC